CAGATGTGGCCCACATTTTGTGATTCCTTTCTTGTTTTTACAAGGGGCTGCGGTAGCCTGGTGGTCAGTGGTGCCTGAGGCTGCAGGTTTGAGCCCAAGTTGTGTCAGGAAGGGCATCCGATGTAAAACTAGTGCCAAATCCTGACAGGTGGGTAAATTCACTGTGACGAGCCCTGCAGAGGGGAGGAGCCAAAAATAAAAACAACTTTTCTGTTTTCACATCAGTTTTTAAATTTCTTCTCCAGTTTTTACATTGTCATCACTGACAACCTTTTTTTTTTCTTTTGGTTCAAGCTCAAATTCATATTTTAGTCTTATCACAACTACAGACTGACCAACTGACCTCAGATCCACCAATATTGGACCAGCTATAAATATTCATACTCTCACTCCACGCTCATCACTGTAAAGGGCAAAGTACATATTGGTGGTGAATTATATATCCATTGAAAAGGTCATCTACCTCAACACCAATCTTTTGATGAGTTATAAGACACATAGAGGGAAAAAATTTTCAATTCGCAGAGTGCTTAATTAATGCTAATATGTTGTAAACCTGCACATTTCATTAGCAAGCGTCTGAGACGGAGGCACGCGAGCCTGATGGGTCTGACTTTTTGATGTAGTCATAACTACATTGCTTGCCCTGTTGCTCAGCTCCTCAGTTTAAAGGAGAGCGTGTGTCTTTTCCTTTGTGAACAACCATTCATCCTTCTCTATGTCAGCCTGTTCGTCTGTGGTGATCTCTTCACAGGATGTGTCTTCCTCTCTTTGACAAGACATTGATTAACATTGTGCATATCAGTCTGACAAATGTTGTGTGCTAATACGCACATGCACATCTGAACTGAAACATGCTGTACTCAAATATGCATATAAAATAATATCTCTAGAAAAAATTAACAAAAAATATTTTTTTTTACTTTTTATATTTAGTTGCACAAAAGAATACATAGAAAATGTCTGTTTACACCATATCTATTATTTATGGGTTTCTTGTGAGCTCCAATTTTAATAAATTAATTTAAAAATAATTTTTTAAATTATACATAAAATATGATCTTAATCAAAGCTCCTTCAATGAGTATTGATGCATTTAGTCATTTATCCACAGGTTTTAGCTGGGAGGTGCTTTAAGCATGTGTGAATTTGTCTGACCTTAAACACCCAGTAGAGTATTATAATAACAAATGCACACAGTGTGTGCATGTTGTCTTATTTTCCTTAAATATAATTTTATTTAAACAGATAACAGCCATAAAATGACCTAATGCTGATTTGCTCACTTTTCTGTGAGTTTTAAGCAACTAAACTAATTCATATATTTAGATATTCACTAACACAATAAAATCTACCATAAAATGTGGAGCATTATCTTGTTTTTAGTCTACCTATGTACTTAGATATGCATGTCCTCTGACAACAAGGGGTGCAGCAGCACCCTCTACACCCCTAATTCCACAAGGACAAAAGCAGCACAAGCTAAGAGGCACACACGGTTTTATGTTCAAATTATAAAAATGTATTTCTTTCATGCTTATATTTTTTGTTTGAATCTATTAATTTTGCTTGGTTTTATTTTAAACCCACTCGGATTACACAAACAAATCAACACTCACTAATTACGCTAGTTGGGATTCTTTAGTCCAACGTTACAAGAAAATATTATTTTGCCATTTCAGCATAAATAACGGGTTAAAAATGCCTTCCATAATTGCAGAATTAACTGTTAAATAGTTATAATWAAAGATAGTATAATTAAATGGACATTGGACTCTAGTGCCACTTCTCGATGCAGCTTCTCTCTCCTCCAGCTCTCCTCTTTTCTCGGAAATAAGCAGCAAGTGCAACGAACCTGTGATCTGAGATCAGCTATGAATTGAGTTAAATAATTTAGTTGATGGAAAAGATAATTAATGGGGGAAAGAGTCAATAGACAGTGTGGATGGGGTGTGTGAATGTGTGTGTTCGCGTGTTTGTAAAGGAGGGCACAGGTGAAGGGGAGAAGATCTCATCTAAAGGCTATGAAAGATTTAACAGCAGGAGAAGACAGGAATGACAATGTCAGCGAAGGCACGCAACAAACCAGGACCCCCAATTATATCTGGCATTTAACCGTCTGTCCTCTTTACTCTGCACCTCCTCTCAAATCAATAAAATAGGGACTGAATATCTTTATGGACTTGGGCACATAAAAGGAGCACCATGAGCTGATGTTTGTGTTTGAGAAGTCTGTGAAACTCAAAATGAAAAAAATGGACAGATCCTAACATCAAATTTCTTTAATTTAACAGCAAAGAGTTTAAGATATATTAATTTTTAGACAAATTTAATTAAAGTGAAACCAGTAAAAGTCAGGAGATATGACTTTTGTGAATTTAAACTATTTTTTTAAATTATTTACCGTACCTAAATTTTGAGTGTGTTTCTCTTTTTCTTTGAGACAGTTTGCTTAAAGAAATGCTTTACTTTATCAACAACAAACTATACTGGAAGCAAAAATGTTTGCATTTGACTCAACTCATGTTGTTTTATTGGGCCTTAGTGAAATGGTTTTATAAAAAATTAGCTTTATAAAAAGACAAATGATATGAATAAAAGTCTATTGAATTAAATAAAAAATACTGCAACTTTTGTTTTGACTGATAAAAAAATATATATAGTACAGTATTGAGAGAAGTTAATTTCATTTCATCTGAAAAAGTGTCAAATCGTTTAAAAAAAGGGGTCGACCCTTAATCAGGGATTAAATTTTGACGTCTTGTGTGGAAAAAAAAGTTTGACCTTTTTAAAGATCTGGAAGGACTTGTGAGTCATCAGAGAGGAGAAATGCTAGTCAGTTGAGTTTGTGGCAAAAATGTAAACATTTTGTTTAAACTATCACATTTTGTGAGGCCATGGTCTTTACTCTAACAGTTGAGTATATACTGTATATATTTTCTTTCTTTGACTTACACATTTTACTTTGGAACCACAGAGCTGTTGAAAAAAAATTAGGAAGCTTTTTTTAATTACGATTCTGTGATGTTGTTGATGAATATAAAGTCATTTGCAACTTTAGTATAAAAGTTGTGTTGTGTTGCTGTGAATGGTGGAAAGGCCCACATCAGTTTCACCTGACGTTGAGAAGCAGCAAGTTAATACAGAGATTTACTTGTGTTTTACAAACCATGTTATTTTCAAACTTAATAAAGCAGCAAACGTGTGTGAAGTTAAAGCACATGTTTGCTGTCACTCAAAGTCTCAAAAAGGGTAAATTTGCAGGTTTTGTTCAAAGTCTGTCTTAGTTTTCAGGTAAAAACTGCTGAAACATACATAAAAAAGCACAGTTAAATTGTTGTTTCTCAAACATTTATTTGGTTTTGTTTTGTGGGGGTTTCTTTGCATTAGATTATGTTGCATTGGTGCAACTCTTTGTGGTTTTAAGGTGACATCATCTCCTTTACTCTCAGGGCATCCACCAAAAATCTGGTGTTTTTTAAATTCCTTTAAAATGTTTTTATTTTTGTTTTTTTCTAAATCTAGTGCCTGAATTTGATCAAAATCATCAATAACTAATAAAAGTAACAAACTTTCAAATACCTTTTGTAGACAACAAATAATTTCTCTGGTGTCAAAGGTCACTTTGTGTTAAAACTGAAAATTTTTGATCCCTTTTGACAAAGAAAATGTAATTTTGATATAAAAATATGCCTTATTGTGGCTTCCTAGTTTACAATAAACGTGTGATTTTCCTCATGTCTGTACATGTCGATCGGATCAACACAGTGTCGACCATCAGATGAAACTCCTCTCTTGGTAAATTCCCACAGGCCAATTTATTTGAAATCTTTTGAAGTGGAGACAGTAAGGCATTTAACAGCCTGCTCTCTGCTTGCTGTCAGTTTGTGTACCGTGAACATTACATGTATAAAACAGTCGATTCATCAAACACTTTTAACAATGCAAACCATGATCCCCTGACCATAACTCCCGTGTTCTGCAGCACACGTCAGCACACGGTGAGGGTTTAGCACTTCAAGCCTGGCTCTGTTGTCCAGATGGAAGGCGTTTTGCAGCCATCTCTGCTTGTTTATTTATTAGTATTAAAGGCAGAAGCTCTCAGAGGACAGCAGCCAGCTGTTGGATTTTGGTTCTGTTCCACTGAGACCCGGAGGATTGTTATCCTCTTGATCGCTTGGCTGTCACTCTGTTCCTTYTCCTTTTGTTTGCAGGCTAAACACAGACAAAACACACATTTTGCTTTTCTTTGGAATCTTTTGTCTCAGCTCGGATTTTACACCAATTTTATTTATGGTTTTTTACACTTCAAAAATCATCAAAACCTTGAATTCTGTGCATTTGTGTGTGTGTGTGTGTGTGTGTGTGTGTGTGTGTGTGTGTGTGTGTGTGTGT